TTAGATATTCTTATTATAGATAAAATTATGAATTGAAAATTAAATGTAAATCATTAAATTTAAATAATTTATTTTAAGGAGTTAGAAGAACTTGTTTTATAAATGATAATCCACGATAGGGGAATCTTAATAGAGATTTTATGTACTGTTGTTTAAAAGTTATTTTATTAGAAAATATAATTAATTAATTAAATTTTTAATTTGAATTCAAATCAAAATGTAGAATAACACTAATTTTTATATTGATAATATTACTATATCTGTCCATATTATTACAAGGTTTAACAGTAAGAATAAATTACGATAAACAGAAAATCATTTTTATAACTCTTGTTATAAATTAGGTACGAAATAAGTAATCGTATGTACACACATGATTGCAGTGTCTTATCAGACGTATTATGTCTGACCTTTCATTTTCACATTCAAGAATATTTTATGCGGAATATTATGGAAATAAATGTGTATTAACTTTATTCACTTGATTCTTTTATACGATGAAACGTTATTGAAGACTTTCTATATTTGTGGATATAATATTTTTATTTCTGTCTTGCATCGATAGCAGATCACATTGATTAATACAGAGACAAATAGTCGATTATGTTACAAGAAATACTGCACAAGCGAAATTTCTTCATAATATACGCCTGCAATATGTATGATGTTTACAATTCGTTTCTTATGCACATATAATGCACATATAATTAGCTTGACGAATTCCTCAAGCCATAACAGATAATATATAATTAACGCAATTATATAAAAAAATAAATAAACTTATGTTAGTATTCGTTAATGATTCGTTAATAATTTGCAATCGAAATAACTTATTATATTCTAATAACAAATTTACTGTGTGCCCGATTTCAACTTTTAAAATTTTCCATAGGTCATATGGATTTAATTATATTGAGAACACAACCCTCTATTATTTCCTCAAAGCATTTGACGAAGTTAGATTTTATAAGAATAGAAAAGATATTGATTTAAGCTTGTAAATTTTAAAGGATACAAGTAGCGCGATTTTTAAAGTTCGGAGATCAAAATATGATCACAAATCTGTACATACACACACCTTATTTCACGTATAAATACTGTACTGACTTAACATCCAATTTGAATTTTGTATTGCAACAAACGAGCTCATTACATGGGATTGCGTGAAGATTGTGATTTCAAATTTTTTCGGAAAACATAGAAAATTTAATGTACTTTTAAATTACACAAATTAAATTCAATTTTATGACACTAATTAAATTTAATGTATCTGCAACTGAAAAGTACATGACATTTAGTGTATTTTTCATAAAATTTTACGAAATTCAGTACATTTTTTATTAAATTTTATATAGATTTGCATGAAATTTAATATAAGTAAACGTTAAATTTAAGTTACTCAACATTAAATATTTTTAATCCTACTTGCTTCTATTACATATAATAGAAATAAATTTCTTTTTTTTTAACAGTGTACCGTGTTTAGTTACTGTATGATGATTGCTTTTAAAAATATCGGCGTTAATATGTCATCGAAAATTTATTTTTTACATTACCAATTCTTTGAAAAGTAGTTTGCTAGTACGAATAAGACAAAAAATTTTATCAACAAATCATGCAGATGAAATGCAACAAAAGAAAATATTTTTGAAATAATTTCTTAGTTATGTTGATAAGTTGCAAAAAAATTTAAAAAAACATTAACGCAATTTATTTAATTTCAATAAAAAATTCATTGAACGCGAAAAAAGTCGTATGTATCTGTATGTACGTGTGTATTTGTGATCATATTTGGTATCAGAACTTTAAAAGTCTATTTGTAGTCAAAATTAAACTTTAAATCGATGTCCCATTCTTACAAGATCTACCTAATTCTCTTGAAGTAAATGATGGAAGGCTATATTCCTAATACAAAGCTACGTGACTTTTGGAAAATTTTCATGAACACACATTACATAATCATTGATCTATCTTAATTCAAACTAAAAAAAAGTATATATATGTGTAACGTGTTCTTGCCATTATTGTTCGTTGAGATCACTCGTAACAGAATAAATATGTCTCACGAGACAATTGGAATGTTCCTTCTCTTACTGATACGCCCTGAAGATAGTAAAATTATTGACACAGATATTGACTAATATTCCGCTGTCCTTATGGCTATTCTATTATCATTTTTCTCTCTCCGAATTGCAGTGACAAACATCGAATCAACATGTGCACATTATCCATTGCGTATAATATACATGTGCACTCGCAGATGCACTCAACAATAAATACACGGCATACGAGAATATAACAAGTACTCTTTGTATATAGCTATGTTTATTGCTATTCAATAATTAAAAGTAGAATACCGCAAGGTCTACTCATCATCTTACGGATAAGTGTCAATCTGTCATGTTCTTATAAATAATGCTCTCTCATTATAAACTAGAACAGTGTTTCCTAATGTTTTTTAATATAAATCTTTTAGCATGTATAAGAAGATTGTTAACACTCCAGTGATTTCCTCTTTTTATAAATTTTATTTTCTTATGACAACTTTCAATGAAAAAAAATATTCGTATTTAGAATATTCTTTTTCTTCTTATTTTATTTCCTAATATTATTTAAAATCAATGTTTTTTATTACACACGCATAATAAAAATTTAATTAATTAAGCAAATATGTTACTTTTTCTTATGATGCATAAAAGTAATATAATGGAGAAATTATTTTAATTATATTGACTTAATCGTATGTTAAAATAATATGTATTGAAATACAGAGTGTTTGATCTGATGTGAAAAATACTTTATCAATTTGCTTAATATACTATTTAATCTGCTAATAACTATGGCATTACTGAACTATTGTTTAAATAGACATACTCTCCTTTATTATATTTCTCTCTCCAATAAAATAGCAAATTTGTCACAAATAGGAAACACTGTTCTAGCATTACAAATCTGTGTACACATTCAAGATATTGTTTTTTAAAAATATCTGTGTTGGAATAAATATGTATCACGTAATGTACAACCATAGAAACACGTCCAGCTTTGCTCGCACTCTTTACTCACTTGCTTTTATTGCAATTTTGTGCTAAAGCTATTTATAGAAATTTTCTTCTTCCATCTAAATTATAATTATAACTTAGAAAGATGAAGAATTATCTTCAAATTTTTAAATAGCGATAAACAACATTGGTGCAATCATCTTTTGCTATTAAGCAGCTAAAGCTAAATAAGTACTGCTTGTACAATTTTTTTAATATAAATATTTCACCGATTTATCACCGATAATCGCGGATACATAAGTTAAAGATACATAAGTCATATAAGGAAGAGAGAAATGCAATCAGTATAATGTAACCAACAATCCTTATAATAAAATTAGGTATTATACGTGCTATTTTAAATATTTCTATTTTTTTACATATGTTTCCGTTTAATAACTATACAATAATTGTACAATATTATGCAACAATTAGATCTCTGTTCAAGTCGCAAATTATTTCAAATATACAAGCCTAACAAATAAATCTATCACGCTGTTAAAAGTCTATAAAATGAACAAGTTTGCTAGAGTTAATCAGAGCTAAATCAAATTGAATCATAAAAAAATACTTATGTATGAAAATATCATACGAAAATATAATATTCATTTCTGCGATTTATAAAACTGATAACGCTTGTTTATCTGCAATAATGTACTTGTACTTCAAAGACAGAGTTAATCACGTGTTTTTAGATATGCTCACGTCATCATGAATACAAGCTGATATCATCTATTATCTATCTGTTATGTGGGAACTCATTGTAACACAGAGAAGATCTAGATATCACTGATTATATCTATATCATTTATACACAGAAGCTATAAATTTCTACATTTAAATTACTACAATTTGAAAATGCGTTCGTTTTGGGTGATCAAAGTCGATTCAACTTAAATGATTTAAATTTGAAACGACTTTATACTCAAAAACATTCGCCTTTTCTTTTTCTATACTACCAAAGTAACGCAGTTCGAAATGGAATACATTTTACTCTAGACCACCTTCTTCTTCTAATTTCGATAAGAATTTTGCAACTCTGTAACTTGGTTCCACTTGACGCGCCATATCTATTAGGCAAAGCAATTTCTTAATACCAATGAATACTCTGAAATCATAAAATATGCATAATGATAAAATATATCATAATAAAATATACATAATAAAATATACATTAGACGTCGAGTGACTTTTCACTCGGTGCGATTGACTCGCGATCTATAGATCGGATTCAATCCCACCTGCGTCCCCATACGTAATTTTTTTATGTTCTATATTTTTTGCGTTTAAGGAGTCGAAAATGACATCTGATGATTAAGAAGATCTTTGATCACCAGCGCCATTTAGATTCGGTGTTAAACTGTAGGTCTCATATATCATATATCATATATCATATATCATATATCATATATCTTACCGTTTTCCTTGAAGCTTTGCATGCAAAGAAGCCATTTCGTGTTTTGAAAAGAGATCAACTTCGTCTAACACACTTAACAAATGATCAGGGCTTGACAAATTAGGCACATGAAGAATAGTATTAAATGCTGGAAGTAATTCCAAGTCATCTAAAACTTGTCTGCAAAAAGAAATATATATTATTAAGAATTTTTAAATCACTTCCTTCCATAGAAAAAAATCTTTATCTTACCTGCGACTAGAAGTGCATAGAATTAATAATTTACGGCCAGGCGGCGGCGATTTCTTTAATAACACCAAAAGTGCTTGCAATGTTAGATTAGAATATCTTGGTCCAATTGGGCCGTAATCCAGAAGACGTTCAATATTATCAACTAAAATACAGCTTAGTTGCGAACGATATGCATCATCAAACACCTAAAATGTAAATGGCGATTATTTTAAGCTTTACATCAGATATAATTATAAATATATATTTATAGATAAATGTAAGAGAAATATAAAATAAGTATATCATACCTTTCGTATAGAAAGACATTTTGCCGATTCAATAAAACCGACCATGTCTTCGGGTGTACAAACTTTAACAAATGGAAAGTCTGAATTCTTTGCAATTTGTGCGGCAAGCGCCGTCTTTCCACTGTTTGGTGGTCCCTCCAAAAGAACAGAAACAAGTCCAGATCCTTCAGTCGCCCGAGCTTGTTGAATGCATAGACCGCCATCAGCGAGTATTTCAACCACTGGCCTTCCCCAGTGAATAATTCCACGAGTTAACAATTGGGTCAATGCTTCAGCACTTGTACCAAATGCCTAAAAGATATGAAAATATAACATTTAGTTGTTATGTTTTATATAAATAAATATATAAATAAGAATAATTAATTAATATACATTCACAGAGTCCAATAAAAATAATTATTCAATAAATAAAAATTTTCTTGATCACTTACTGGTTTAACATCATGTTCCAATGCATGGAAAAAATCACTTCGAGATACCATAAGTTTTTCCATTGCAGCTGGATCTACTTCCACTTTACTAGAAGCTTTAATTAATCGATTCATGGCGGTACTTTGGGCTGCTCTAACTAAACCTTCCAATTCTGCACCACTAAAATTCTTGGTTAATGTAGCCATTTCTTTTAAGTCTACATCAGGCGCTATTTTTTTATATTCTCTCATTCGGGATGTGTGGATATTAAGAATTTGATATCGTCCATGTTCGTCTGGTAAGCTAATTTCCATTTGCAACTTTAAGCATGGAAAATAAAGATACACTTAAAATATAAAATAAAAAGATACATTAAATAACGAATAGAAAGATATATCTTAAGGAGATATATCTATATTGAAACTGTATTGAATTAACGCGAATTGAACTAAAAATATTCTATACATATTCGCATTCGTGTACGTTCAGCTTATAAAAACTTTTTGTCTTATTAAATAAATTCTTTACCTCCAATCTGCCAGGTCTTAACAAAGCCTCATCGATCATATCTCTTCTATTAGTCATACCAATAACAAGAATGTTATTTAATTGTTCGACACCATCAATTTTTGCAAGAAGCTGATTAACCACTGTATCATGAACCCCTGTGTTTCCAGCAACACTACCTCGAGATTTACAAATAGCATCTATTTCATCAAATATGATTATGTGAAGTCCACTGTTTGGTCCAAGCTAAAAAAATATACAATATTATTCTTAAATCTTTTCCCCCTATTTGTAAAGAGAATCCAATTTATATACATATTGTGCCCAAATAATAATATATATATTTTAAATTATTTACCCTTTTTTCTTCTTCTTCTGCTTCAGCGAACAATCTTCTGATATTAGCCTCGCTTTCTCCAACATATTTATCCAAAATTTGTGGGCCATTTACAATTTTCGGTTCTCTTGCATTTAACATTGTACCTATTTGCCGAGCCATTAACGTCTTTCCTGTACCAGGTGGACCATATAACAAGATTCCTTTTACATGCTTGCAACCCAATTGAGTAACAATCTCCGTTGGGAAAACACGGGATGCAAAGGCTCTTCGGAAAATGGCGCTAAACTCCTTATCCAAGCCACCAATACCCATTTTCTGAAAGTCCCAATCTGGATTGATAATCGCCTGTCGGACAGCTTTCCCTTTAGACTGTCCAACAAGATTTAAACTGGAGGTCTCTGCTTTCTCGAACTGGATTATAGTGTCGCCCAAGCAACGTCCCATTTTTGTCTTCTTAGGCATCGTACTTTGCCCCGAACTGATGGCTGACAAGTCGGCAGCTTCCAAACTTTTGATGACTAATCCAAGCAGTTTCTTATCCTTAAACTGAAATGCCAGCTGCTGACCCACGGTGAATGCCTGCCCGGAAAACTGCATCAAGAAGTCCTTAGCCATTTCATCCGTGTTGTATGGTTCCAAAGTGACACTGGAGTAACAATATATTAATATAACAATTTAAAAAAAAGTTGATGGAAGACTATGATATTCAAATTCAAATTCTTTGCATTTGTGTATAAACTTAATTATGTTCATTTAATTACAAATATTTTATAAATTACCATAAAAATATTTTAATTTTTTATCATATTTTAGTTTTTTATGTGTGTGATGTATAGCTTTTCCAATTAACATACGTTTTTTTCTGTAGAAAATCAGCTTCCAAAACAATGTTGCATAAACATTCTGTGTTAGAAGTTGGATCAAAATGATATGGCCGAACTTCAATTTCTTGATTGAGAGACAATGTTGCCCATTTCCGTTGAGGTAAGCTAAAGCCAACTGTGCCACGTGGAATCTCATGATGTGTTCTTACAGTAAATACGAAATGATAATTTGGTGCTGTAGTTACTTCAATATGCCTGTAACAGACAATAAAATAAATATCAATTAATATACTTATTGCATCATGATTTAAAAATATACATGATTCTGTATAGTCTATAAAAGAACTTATGTAAATTTTTGAGGAATTTTAAAATAAAATAATTAAATTTATATAAATATTAATTTGTGCAATTGAGTTTATATAAGTTAATAAAACTATAAAATGTTTTAGAGTTTTTATTTTAAAATATATGTATATTCTATAAAATAAATAAATGAGATAACTAATTTGGTGTCAATCTTATCACTGCTACATTTACAACATATGTCTACTCCATAATCTATACGATAGATGTTTTTGTTTAACTTATTATAGGACACTTATTGTAAATAGGTTATTTTACATTGTTTGAATATGTATAATTTATAAACTTAACTTAAATTTCTATAATTGACACTAATAACTTATATAGATATTTATAAGATAATTATAATTGTATGAATATTATATAATAAATTCCTCAAATATATTAATAAATTACATGATATAAATTTACAATAAAAATAGTCTTTAAAATATATTCTTTTGTATAATCAATAATTTTTCTGAACTCAGCCTATTTTTATATTTCATCTAGGATTAATTTTAAGACATAGGTGAACATATATATGTAACATAAATATGCATTAATTTATGAACTAAGTAAAATATAAATATTTAATTTCTCAATCGATTTTAGAGACAATCATACAAGTGTAAAACAATTATGAAATTAATGTCGAATCATGAATTCTTACCTGACATCATCAGGAAAATCGTCGGCGTTGATAATGGCACAGTTGGAGAGACTGAGCTCGTCCGTGGGACACCTCACTGCTTTCATCCGCTGAAGCATACAATTACGTTACCTTATATTTTATGCAAGACAACAAGCTTGATGAAGGGGAGTTATTGATGCGGCTTCGATTCGAAGGGGAGGGACGATGGAGCGGAGCAGATTGTGCAGAGGCTCCTCGCACGCGCTCTTATCCACGAAACCGACAACTCCCGGTGGCATCGCCCATTTGCGATGACGACGCGCTTGGTTTTCACGATCTGTATGGTACTCACCATCTTCGACATATTTTACGACGAGAAATCAACAGATTTTGGCTGCACTACGAACTACGACACAGTAGCGCAAACGTGTCTACAGTCCGCACCACTCTGCACCTTTGATATTGATGCAGTAAAGTTGACCACGGTCATGCGCGAGAGAAAGAGCGAGTTGTTACTCTGTTACTTCTCTAGGTCGCCCTCTGTGCTGCGTTTGAAATCTCTCACTAGACAGAAATCTTAATTTTTTCCCATGTATTATCAATTATCCTGTGATGAGAATTTATTAGTTCTAAATTATTTATACCAATTTTTTTGAATTTATAATTATTACAATTATTAAAATTTCTTTTCTTTGAAATATTAAGAGCATCTGGTCCTAGATAAAATATTGAGTTTATCTCTTTTCTATTCCTAAAAAAAGATATCTTGAGAACAAGTTTTATGCGTTGCCGGCATAAATTCGAAATTCACTCTGGGTCACAAATGACTCAATATGTGTAGAGAATGTATTTTTTATAACTAAAAAATTTTTATTTTTTCTTTATTTTCAATTAATTCTCGGTTGTATTGGGAATGTTTCGCGAATTATTAAAAAAAGAATTTAACCCTAGATACATTTGATAGTATCAGATGATTTAATTAAAAATTCTATGTTCTTAGTCTGCGCGTAGCTTTTAAATTTTATTCCATTCAAATCGATATAAATAAAAAAAAAATTTTAAATTATCTATTCTATCTTGATATCTAATCTATTATGAACACACATTACAGAAAGAAAATAATTAATTAAATATAAAACCAATCCGAAAAATTGGCTTAGCAGAAGCTTTCTGTTAATTTTTTCTAATTCGCATGTACTTTACAAGGCATTATGTTAATGAAAGATTAATTTTATTTATCAATAGTATGAAGGACGCACGTCCTTAACACAACCATTTTATATAATTAGACATCAATCTACATCTGTACTTTTACTGGAAACTTTCTTTTATTCACACTGTCCTTTCTCGCTGTTAACCGACGAATTGATTCATTGTTACTATGTTTTATCATTCGACAAAAATTGACTAAATATAATATAGTTGCGTTTATACTGACTATTGAAAATCGAAGATAATCTTTAAAATATATTAATTTATTTTTTTTGTTATATGGGGTAATTATATTTCTGCGATTGATGAGGACTAAATATAGTCGAAACGTATCGGTAGAAATTTATGTGAAATAATAAAATTTGCTTTGTCACATATCTAATTATAGCTCGTTTAATTGTTGACCTGAGTACTATTTATTAATTTGCTAATGAAAGATTATTTTGAATTATTTTTACTCATTTGTGGATTTTTAATGAAGTTCTAAATTACAATTTTTAAATTAATATTTAATGAATTATGAAAAAAGATAGAAAAGATTATATACTCAAGAGCGCGAATGTGACGTAGCTGGCAGCGTACGAAATTACTATGCCAGAGATCCCGGATTCGATCCTAGGCAGAACCAAAAAATTTTCGTATGCTCGTAGCTCCTCTTGGCAATGACAAATCACCGAGAGTATCCTTGCCATGTACACTTTTATAAACAAAATCGTCATTCGGAATCGACGTAAAATTCGATTGTTGGTCCCTTATGTGTACAATCAACATGTGCATCATAGATATATGATAGAAGTCATCACATTCTTTCAGAGGATTATGGATGAAGGAGAAGAGGACTATACTATCCAGTTTAACTGAAAAAGTATTTACATTTATTATCAAATAGACTGTATGTGCGTGTATATGTGTACATATACATCGCGTGTGTATAACATAATTCGTGATGGCAGTATTAATAAAAAAAAAGTAATTTGATATCTTCGGAGTTTATTAAAACATAATATGTAAATATTATGCTTTAATAAATTCCGACATCACTTTTTTTTATTAATAAAGTATAATATGTAAATATTATGCTTTAATAAATTCCGAAGACATCAATTTACTTTTTTTTTTAAACAAACAAAATCAAGCTACAAGAGCACTGGCCGTTGAACTTTCGTATTTCCAGTTCGGCGGTAGAGATCCTTTCGTCTTATAGTAACGCGCCAACCTGTGAATTCTCGACTCGACGAGAATTAAACGGAATTTCGAATCTTTATCTTTGCGATTTCGCTCCAAGTGTTTGCGCACAGCGACGGCCTTTTTGATCAGGTAATAGAGATCCTCTGGTAGATCAGGAGCCAGACCCATGCTCTTTACAATGCGCAAAATCTTATTTCCTGTACGGAATCGTACTTGTGCTACTCCATGTGAGTCACGAAGTATGACACCTATAAAAATACAAAATATGTTGTATGTTGTCTTATATATGTTTTTTTTTTGTTATTTTAATAATTATCAAACTTGTTATTTTACAAAAGTATTAATGATGATCTATTGTGAAGTGACAAATGATCAAACATCACTTATAATCTTGCAAACATATTTGAGAGAATCAAATTAAAAACTCTAAGATCCTCTGAATAGAGTTTGCTTTCAAATATATTGATTTCTTTAAATTAACAGCTAGTAAAGCTTTTATTAGCAGAAATAAATGTATATCAAAATTACCAATTTGAGATGGTGTATGTCCTTTTTTCGCTAGCTTATAGATAAGTTCTTTGCAATCTTCTGGTGTTAGTTTCAACCAAGTTGGTACACTTCGTCGATAAGGAAGTGCTGACTGAGATATACCTTTTCTAAAAAATATAATATGCCATCATATAATATTCATCATTTAAAACTATAAAAAAATATATATATATAATAAAATTTAAA